GGGAGGTGGGAGAGCAGATGACAATGGCAAAGCAGTTTTACTCAATTCGATCTCTACTAGACTAAAGAATTCGTATCAGGCCCCCGGTAAGTATTCGTTACTACGTTTGAGCACTGAGTTTGAGTTACATTTTGAGAAATATCTGTGTTTGGGAGGGGGGTTGGGGGATCCGTGAGGAGAATAGAAAGGTTTTTCGGGGCAGATGTTTGGTGACAGCCCAGGGACAGTCGTTTGTCGATTTATGCACCCTCCTCAGTACCCAAAGTAGCGTCCCCCTGACGAGACCCTCCTGTCTCGATTCCCCTGTCCCGAGTCCATTCTGCTTTGGAACATCCCTGTACGATTCCGAAAACGGGGTCTACTTAAAAAAGACCGACCCAATAAAGGAAGGAATGTGCAGAGTTAATGTGAGAGTTGGAAACAAGGAAAACATGATAGCAGAAGATCCTTCGTACGTGGTCGTCAAGGAACCACTAAAGGGAAATGAGTTCATGAGGTGCGGCGCGTTGACCTCAATGATAACCATGGTCGCCGATGGATAAAAAGTGACCATGGGAAGGGCTGTAATATGAATGTTTCGCCAGTGCTCTGGTTTTGCAGGGAACAAAGTCGCCGAGAAGGGGAAGGTGAAACTACGGTGGTTACTTTTACCGGAAAGGTGATAGAGTAAGGTACCGCAATTCAGTCTACAGGTGAGCATGCCTGGCTGGGGGTAAGGCCGCTGTCCTTGGTGCCGCCAAAGCCTTTCATCAATTTCTGAGTGGATCTTCATCTAGAAGCGGCAGAAGAAGATTCGTTCGGCTTCGTGGTAGAGGTAGCATCGTAGAGTTCCTTTTTTCAACTCGATAGCAGTATCGTAGTTCTCCCCTCCCTCAGCATCAACAAAGCGGTTATTCATCAACTATCAAGGGTAACAGTGGCCTTTTTGAAAAGTATTAGTATAGAAGACTCCTAGAGATAGATTAGTTCCCTAGCTAATAAATTCAATTCTGCCAGGAACACCCAATCAATAACCCATGGTGTTCCGCGTGTTATCTTTAGCACTGCGTCAGAGAAGGACAATGTCGCCAAAGATTTATTGCCCCTATTATTTTCAAGGGTTGATGAATAACCGCTTTGTTGATGCCCGTTGAAAGCTGATTCATGAGGAAACGAGGTCAGTAGAAAAAAGGATGCTATTTGGATACGGTAATGGGGGTGGGAGAGGAGTTGGGTTACCCAAGAGTTGTATAGTTATGCAAACAAATACGATAAACTTACTCAGTGAGCCCAAATATGGTAATAAAAAGCTTCCGAAGCTGTAGTCAGAAAGCCGTAAGGAGCTGAGATAGGGCTAACGCAACTTGGAAAGGTATGAGGTAAGGAGCATGGTGCCCGAAAAGCTCAAGTTCAGGGCAGAGTTCCGTCCGATAACAAATTTTCGTATATAGCCAGCATCCATAGCAATGCTAGGAAGAGCTTTCCCGAACGCCCTCAGAGAAACCGATGAATCGCCTTCATGGAATTTGACGCCGCCTTAGTTTTGGTGGATTTACCCCATTACCCGGTAAGGATGGTGAACGATGCCCAAGAGTTGAATAAATTCTTCCGGGCGGAACAAGTGAGTAGTTCTTAGGTGTGCGTATGACTGATGATTGAAAAGAAAGCAAGCGTTCCCTTTTCGTTGTTCTGGCCATATAATGGGTAATGGTTGCCCCTGACTTCAGAAGATATTCTCTATGTCATAACCTCTTCCCACTACACTGCTTCCCTCATAGAATTGCACTCCACCCTTGTATAAAGACCCCTTAATAATTCCCGTCGCGGATGAGTGTCCCACGACGGAAACCTGGCAAGATGTCTGATCTGATATGGAGAAAAAAGATCCGAAAGACCAATGCTCGCGGGCGAAAGGAAGACGACTACACCAAATGCCTCGATCATAAATCATTCCCTAATCAATTCCACCCCGCTATGTCACATTCCTTCGAGAGCCCCTTGAAGGGTGATGTTGCTAAAAAGGGAATCATAAAATAAGGAAGAACAACCTAGTGATTCCGTCGGCATTTGGAGAATTCAGTCTTTTTCACTACATCAGTGGACAACCCAGCCGGATCCACTCGACTTATACCCAAACTGGTCAAAATCCTTTCAAGAAAACCCATATAGTTCACCCTGATATCCATCCCCAGGTTGCCTCGATCAAAAGTAAGAAGGGTTTTGAAAAGTAGAAACGGAAAGGAATGGGTGATACGCCCCAGAAGTATACAGTTATCGCAGAAGGAATGATGCCAATTATCAGCTGTTTTCACGAGAACACTGCAAAACCAGTTCTGTAGTGATTACGAGTTGGGGGTACACAGTGTTATGTGCAAAAACACTAGTTCAGAATCACGTGATGGAACGAACAGCGAAAGTTTCCTACCCTTTTGATAAATGAGAACCGGAAACCTTATTGTAAAAATTAAAATTACAAAAAAATGCAAAGGTTCCTTCAACCATTAATGTTCCGTGGGAAGCCTTCAGATTCAGTTCCTCAACGCTACGCTCTGGTCCAGCGGCAGTGATTGGACGGAAATCCGTTCCAGTAACCCAAAACCAAGGGATTCCCGGGGTGATTGTGCTCTGTAATGAGGATCTTTTCCTGGTAATTGCGTCCCTCCTTACTTACGCTGAACCTCGATCTTTCACTCAACCTCCACTCCCTACTCTCTATTACGGGATCCCCACAATCCTACTTTTTCCTTACTAATTCTGTCCCCACAACTCTACATCTTCAATTCATCTCAATCTCTACAGCAGAGTGTCTTGACTAAACTTTTATATCAATTTTGACTTTTATCGTCCGCCCGAAGGCCAATCTCGAAGATCTGCGAATTTCACATGAGGCACGAACCCGTTGCCAGAGAATTAAATCACATTACACTGTGACGTTCCAATGTGAAATGAAGACAAATCGTTTAAGTACAAGTAGGAATTACCTCCCTCAGTTTTGGCTCACAATCACAGGCCTTCGGGACTTACAATTAGGAGTATTCTTGCAAGTAGCAGTAGTAGTTGGACGATAAAGTCAGAAAGTTGGTTTCTAGAGTCGTACACATAGGAATTTCACCCGAATACTTGAGAGTAGTTGGAAAATAAAAGAAAAAGTGGGACAGACTTCCCGTCCAGAGTGGGTGGTTATTCAATTTTCGACCGGCTCATAATTCCTGCTTTCTGAATTCCGGTTCTGTACCCAGTGTAAACTAAATTCAACATTTCCAACCGGATACAACTGATGTATGGGTGGTCCTTATCAACCGGTATTTTATTTCTTCTCAGTTGATCAAACTACGGATGGTCTGCATGATCTTATCAGGTAGAATCCGGGACGCTATGAGTCAGCATGCCAATCGTCAAAGCCGCCCGTGCGGCTGAATCACTGAGGAAATTAGTCAAGGCAGAAGGAAGGAACTCCTTTTTGTACACATTCCAGCTTAGCCGGGTAAAAACTCTGCCGCCGTCGCTGCTAGTTGTGTTTCCGAAGTGTTTCGTTGGAACACGTACTTTATGGGCCCGATAGAAATGTTTTATGGCAATGTCACGTCGATTGCGCCATGCTCTCGAGTTCGAGAAAAAATTACATGCATGATTTCATTTTACAACAATATTCACGACCACTTTCTGAAAATCACTGCTGTTCGGCTAGCTAAATCCCATTGCGTATACCTCTGAAAAAGGCCTAGAAAAGGGTAATTGCCTCATCAGTTCAGCTATTGAGGGAACGAATTCCTGAGC